TCTGATACGATGTGCACTATCCAGAGGCCCCCATCGACACACCAGCCTGATCAACGCTCAGTCAATTTCTTCATGCCACTACGCCACGTCATGGACTCACCAACTGGCGGTTCCACCTCTTGTTGCAGCCACGGCGCATAATGCACGCAGACGAAGCCAGGCAAAGTGCATACGGAGGACATTGCCTAGGCAACGTAAGTGATTAAGCCAATATGCAAAGGCGAGGATAGACAAAATGGTGTTAACTATAGGCTGATCTTCCTAATATCAGTTGTCTGAAAGGTCATTAATTGAATACTTAAACGCACTCTCCAACACCACTTGGAAAACGTAAACGTTCTCTCGCCAGCCCAGCATAGGTGCTGGAAAGATCGCTACTACATTTTAAAGCTACTCGTTGTTAGAGAAAAATGCTTAAAATAGTTAGATACTGGTAAGCGTTTGCATTTTATTTTTGTTGACTTTCTAAGAAGTTGTACAATGGGTGGTGAATGAAGCCCTTGCTTCAGTTGCTCCGATGAGCGCTGGGGTGTTACAAGGTTCTGTCCTAGGCTCGGAACTTAAAAATTTTTAGGAATGATCTTCCGACTGCTTTTCAAACTGACTTCAATCTATGCCGATGATCTGTGGTTGGAGGTCAACAGCCTTGATGATGCTGACATTTCAGGTGAGGATTAACATGGTGTATGACTGCTTAGCCCCAGATAGTCACCTATAAATCGTAAAATCCTTTGTTCTTACAACTGGCGCTCCTGATCTAGTCGGCACCAATCAAGTCGGTGGCGCCCTACTCACAATTGCCTCCCAAAAAAATCTCGGTGTTATCGTGCCCTCCGATCTTCGTGAAAACCCACGATACGCCGGAAGTTCGAAGAAAAGTTTGCAACTGACGCGAGGATGGCCCCAAAGATCTTTGCTTACGTGAAACGCCGTTTGAAGCCAAAAGGTGACGTGTCATGTCTGGAAGACCCGGACGGACACCTGCTAACTTCCAGTTCCGATCGCGCGTCCGCACTGGCCGCTCACTTCGCTTCCGTGTTTGCAAACGACGCGGCGTCCATACCCATCTCAGCGAGTAACCTTCCTGTAGAACTCAACAGTTTGGTTTGTGATGTCGACGAGGTGCGCCTGCTACTTGCGAATCTTGACGGTACCAAGCCTGCAGGGCCTGACGGGCTTCATCCGCTAATTATCAAATCACTAGCTGCCATTATCTCGCCTGCTGTTACGGATCTATTCAACAAATCATTGTCTGAGGGCTCATTGCCAAACGACTGGAAGCGCTCGGTGGTGAGGCCGATCCCGAAAGATGGCGACCCCAGTAAGGTGGATAACTACAGGCCAATTTGTCTTACACCCGTTTTGGCCAAAGTTATCGAGAAGATAGTAAAAAAACGTCTAATACATCTGTTGCAATCGAAAGAACTTCTGACACCGGCACAACACGGATTCAGGATGGGATATTCTTGTGTTACCAACTTACTTGTGACGAGACAGGAATGGTTGCAAGCACTGAACCGGGGAAAGTCCGTCGACGTAATCTACATCGACTTCAGCAAAGCATTCGACAAAGTTAATCATGAAATGCTTCTAGACAGATTAAGGTCGTGTGGTGTCGGAGGGTCGTTACATCGATGGATCCATGAATTTCTCGTTGGGAGAAAGTGGAGGGTACAGGTGGACGGCCATCTAACCGATTGGTATGCCTCGACCAGTGGTGTACCTCAAGGTACGGTACTGGGACCCACTCTGTTTCTCATCCATATCAACGAGCTGCCCCAGCTTCTACGGTCGCCGTGTGCACTGTTTGCGGATGACCTCAAAATTTAGCGAGAAATTAATACTCTCGATGATTGTGACATTCTCCAACAAGACCTCGACCGCCTCGCAGTATGGTCTGCTGAAGTCCACCTACCGGTCAACCCGGCAAAGTCCCTATTCATGAATCTCGGGAAGGCTGTTCACGGACGAACGTACACCCTAGACGGCCAACCACTGCATCCCACACTTTCTGTGAAGGACCTAGGTGTACTCTCACGCTGCGACTTGAAGTCCGTCGACAACACCGACAAAATGTATCGAAACGGACTGCGCATGCCCTGGGCGCTGAAACGCAGCTTCTGCACTTGGTCTGAGGACGTCGCCACTCGCCTCTTCTCTTTCATCGTCAGACCAATGGTAGAGTACGGCTCGCCTGCATACTGTCCGATCACTCGCGGCGAAGCGCAAAAGATCGAACGAGTACAACACGTCGCCACCAAGTTGATCCCCAGCTTGAGAGGCTTATCCTATGAAAACCGGTGCATGAAACTTCGGCTCTACACCTTATCATATCGCCGTGTTCGAGTGGATCTTATCATGACCTACCGTATTTTACATCTCGGTCATTTCCCCCATGCTGAGGTCGTTACTCCACTTGCGAGTACCATGCACCACACGTGGGCACAGGTACAAACTCGTGGTACCTGATCTGAAGAAAATCCCACACCCCCTGTGTTTCGAGCGGAGGGTTGTGCAAGCCTGGAACAGTCTGCCAGAACACGTCGTCGAGGCCGAATCTGTGCAGAGATTCAAATCATTGTCTGATTTACACTTCGCTAACATACGTTTCAGAGAACGGTTGCCACTTGACAACGATATCACCCACTTGTGACTCACTGTGTGAACAAGCATTTTGTGTGCTACAGAAGGAGTTGCTGAACCATATCAGGATAACCACCGGACGTGTTTTTTTAAATGTTTTTTGATTATCACCCTATGGAGTTGTACAGAATTATTTTCTACTTGCTCCAAAATACAGTATTCAGTTAAGAAATCACTACACTCAACAGGATGTTTGGGCTATAGGAAAGCCATTCTCTCGGATGACTCGACATCTTCAAACTGTTCGTCTCACATGTGCGCTCTAACAAGCTACCCACGCACTAAGTTTGTGTGATCTGATTATGGAAGCTCAGAGATGTGGTTTGAAATCAATCCGTGCTTCGAGATTTGTTTAATTTCGTTCAACTCTACGTATGAATTACGTATGAATTAGTTCTCTAGGCCATCGTTGGCACGGAGACCTGATCTACACAAGATGCATCCTCAGAGTGAAACTGGGCACTTGGCCACAACAATTTCATCATCAATACACGTTAGCCTAGAGTGAGACAATGCCGCAATACAAAAATGATAAAATTAGACAATACATAATTTTAAAAAAAGTTGTGAAATAGTAACATAATGTCAAACGTCATATTATGCATAGGTGTTGAAGTTGTTATTGGAGGGGGAAGCTAAAAGGGAGAGAAGGGATAAATCGACACAACACAAACGCCACTGAGACCGGCTCTTCGCCATGTCAGCTAGTGTATCCAAATAAACGTGTTACTCTTTCGGTCCCCAGCCCGACAGTCGGGAAACATTAACCGATGCCAGGTTCGAAATGAGGGACTTCATTCCTCTTGACCAAGTCACCGCCTCCGTTCTACAGAGACAGCTCGACACGGGGGCACAGCTAGAAGCTCTTTAAACCGCAGAAGCGCCGACTCTAACCAGAGAACACTGCACCCACACAACTATAAAAGTGTTGGAACTGGTTACCGGTTGTAGTCAGTGCTTATACTAAGGAATGTCTAAAGAGGCTTCTGGATTTACACGTACATAGTTTCAGAATCGTTAACCCCAAAACTGTAATGACACACTTCCAACCACCATTTCGCCATAACACGCATTATCCTTACATTGATCGGTAAGCGAAGACGCTGAGAAAAGATACAACATTTGCATTCTACATATAATATTCCTCCGATCTGTCGTTCCAAGCTCTTCCGTCATCAACTAGTGCGACAAGCTGCAATGCAAAATAACTACCTTGTATACGGCTGGATGATCAACCGTTTAGTAAGAGGCCGATGTAAGGGGAGCAGCTAATGATTCACGGAAGAGGGAAGGAAAAGTGCCGGAGAGGAATATAGGTGTAAGGATAACAGGAAGAAAAACCGATCGACCTCCTAACAGTTAGTGTTACCGTGGCACCCGTGGACCGGCAACCTACAGGCAAGTAGCGAAAAGCGATAAGGCTGAAAATATTAGCGCTGATGTTTGGATGGAGTTAGAATAAAACTAGTGGTCCAGTAGTTGTGTCCAGAGAACATTCTAGCGTTGCAGTACACTAATGTAGCCGGTCCGCGAGCGTCATGTTACCAAATAAGAGGTCGATCCGTTTCGCTTCCTGTTATCCTTACCTTCCTATTCCACTCCGGCACTTTCCCTTCTTCCTTGCTTCCTTCGCTGTCACCTTTACATCGACGTCTTACTAGGCGGCTCGAGCGTACAGCCGCTTACGAGCTACTTATTTTGCATTTCAGCATGCCGCAATACTTAGAAACGAAAGATCTCGGAACGAAGGACCGAAGGAATGTTGCATATTTGGCGACCCTGCCAGTTCCCGACAACAGTCCACGAAGCTACATTGTAGCCCTTTAGGCAATAGCTAACATCCTCCTATCGCGTTTCTTCTAGTTGACTTTCCCCAGCCACCACGCTCAATGCCACTTGTAGGCACATAAATTGATGCCGGTATGGGCCATTATGGGCGCTGAGGACAGCGCCTGCTAAGAGGGGGGATAATGTACCTGGTCTGCGGGCGTCACGTTAACAGGTAAGAGGTCGATCCGTTTCGCTTTCTGTTATTCTTACCTTTCTATTCCATTCGGGCACTTTCCCTTCCCTCTTCCTTGCTTCCTTAGTTGCCATCTTCACATCGGTCTCTCACTAGTCGGATCGAGCGTACAGCCGTCTACGAGCTATTTATTTTGCATTGCAGTTTGCCGCACTACTTGGACACGGAAAATCATGGAACGCCGAACCGAAGCAATATTACACTAAAGACCAATGAAGACAGCCAGCACATTCAAAAACTACGTGAAACAGGACTGTTGTAAGTCACGAAGCTGGGCTAATCGTAAGCAAAAAGCAAAATATGAAATGACCGCTAACAGACATCCACAACATACCGCAGATCTGAAGAGGTGCTTCAAGTTCCAGAAGGATCGGTTGGGCCAAGAAAATTTCGCGCGATTTTTCGCAGATGTAACGAATCTCCTCTTCTTTCATTTCTACCAATGTGCCGGGTCGAGAACATCTTACTACACAAAAATCGGGGTCAATGCATCATTTAAGTCTAACCATCTAGGAGTCTTTCAATAAAAGCATCAACGTCAAAATCCAAAACCATTTCCTACGCGGACAGTGACAGGCCTACGGCGAACAAACGAAGGGTGGTTGCATAGCTGTGGTACACCAGAAACAATGTAGATGCTTGAAACAGACTTCAAATAATTGCATTAATGGATAGGATGCATATGTAAGCAAAGCATAAATATATTTCGTGCTCTTAAAATTCTCTTAAACTAGTCGTTTATATTTATCAAAGTCGCCGTTCATTTTCCCGCTTCTGATGGCTGCTGCTTTGTTGAGCGGCCCATGATTACTTCATTGTTTAGTGGAGGGAGGTTACCGTGAATTTACCACGGTGTTAGCGCATGTGGGACCTTTTCAGCTTGAATGGTCAACAGCATGTTGTGTTGGAATAGTGTTCACTCTTGATGGGTACTGAAGGGAATCTGGGAAGTCGCTTCCCGTAGGATTTCCATAGTAATAATAAAAAAGTAAAGGTGTACACTGAAAAAGATCAAACTCAAGTGGGAAGCGGTAAGTGTGTAATAAACTTATAACAACTTTATTGCGGTTACCGTAACTATAAAGTTTTTGCGCGCATCTCCGTTATATGGAAGTAGTGATATTACGGGTTTGGACACGCCGACCTACGTCATTCGTACATATTTGAAGTTTGGTAGGCGTGGCTATATCCCATAAAAATGCAGTTGACTGCGGAACAGGGATCGGATGAGGGCACAGGAAATGAACGCGCTTGTGCAAATGCAATAGGGCATCAGGCTGACGCGCCAAGACTTATATACTAAGTCGGCGTCATCGAAATGTAGGCACAAGTGAGGAGCAAGGAGTGACCATACTGTTAGAAACATGGTGTACGGAATATTCTACGTGTTTGCCCAAATCCGCCTCTTATTTTTCGTCCCTTCCCGCATGCTTGACTTGGTGACACAGTCCGCGCGAGTGAGCTTGGTGGAATCCAACGCATCCGAAAGGTACCGCGGTTATATCCTATGGCGTTGCATGTTTGTGGATGTGAGTAGGCTGGGCTGTTCCTACTTATAGGCCCTTTGCCCAATGTGACGGGGACGTGCTACCAGCGACGGTGGATGCCATGTCCGAGCTGGTTCCAAGCATAATATCAGTGCGGACGCTGGTGATAGACTAAGGATAAGCTAAGAAGAAAACATTTGCAATGCGTTCACCAGCGCGAACGTAGTCTTTTGCAGAGTGTGCATTTTGCGCAGCTTGGCTCTTCGTTGCCCGCACCTTCGTTTCCTTTAGTCTGAGGAGAACAGTGGAATAATGGAATACTGGTTTATTACGGGTAAAAAAGCATTGCTTAACAAGCCCCGTGGAGTGGAAACTATTTCGAAACTCAATTGCATGATAAAGTGAAAAGCGTGGTGGTGGAGTCACCATGGACTTATGTGGAATAGAGGAGACATTTGTGTATTAAACGCGTAAATCCATAAATCCATTGGTTAGGCGTTGAGCAATACACAGTTTGCTTGCGTTTTGTAGCCCCTGGCTAACAAGTCATAAAATTCAATGTGAGTGAGATATTGCATCTTCAACACATTTTTAAATATTGCTAGATTGGGAGCAGGGCGACATTATTAGGGAGGGCTATCCAAGGCTGGTACGCGCGGAGGAACAAGAAATTTCTGAGGCATTGAAGCCGGCTATACTGAATTGTCAGTTTCAGAGGGTGACCTCTTGGTTTAGTGTTTTTCCAATCCCAGCAGCGGACGGCAAATATGAGTTTGGGATCCTTTTTCCCTCGAAAAGATCCGGTTTCTGCCACGGCTGCTACGCCCGAATAGCATATTCCACTTGCGGTCGCACGTAGGTGTTAAGCATTTGGGGAAAGATTGAGGGTGCAAATCGACCGAAGTCTCTGCGAAGAGGGCCGGAGTGCCGCGTGCCGGTTCTCGTCGCCTTCGCTACTTGTTTTGGACACCCGAGACCCTCCCGTACCTATACACCTAGGTCACGCTGCTGCGAAACCTTCTCCAAGGCGTGGTCTCCATGCTTGTAAGCGCTCACGGGCTGGTGACGCAGACGTATCGCCTTGCACTTAGCTATGTTTAACTGGAGCATGTTCCTCTTTGGCCATTCTTAAATGTAATCTAGTTCATGTTGGAGCAGATCATGAACTGACTGATTACCAATCGCCCGCCATATGTTGACGTCATCGTTGAAAAGCAGGCACGTTGAGGAGCTAAAACTTGCCACGCCGTTGATAAGCACCAGGAATAAGTGCGGTCTTAGCACAGAACCTTGTTGGACACCACATTCCACCTCAATTGGGTTGGCGAGTGATCCCTTAACGTGTACATGAAGCGTACTTTGGTGATGGTAGCTGCTAGTCCAATTTAGTAAAAGATCTCAGAGCTCGCAGTGCTGTAGCCGTTGAAGTAGGGTGCGGAGAGCAGGGTGGTTGAAAGCTTTGGAGAAGTCCAGATACATGACATCAACTCCGACTCCCGTCATCAGCTAGTTCCGTCCAACTACCTAGTGCAACCAGTAGGATGTTGGTGCATGACCGGTGTTGACGGATGCCTTGCTGCTCCTGTACCAAGACGTTGCCTTTTCCAAGTAGTCCATTAGAGTCTCAGCGACGACTGCTTCCATCACCTTAGCGAGCACAGGGTGGAGAAGGGGGTGTTGTGCACTTATACTGCGTGCGTTGGTATACATCCGTGCTTCAGCGCATTATCAGAGTGTGCTGCAAGCCCTTCTTGGATGGAACGATGAATGCGTTGAATTTTTCCGTCTTATGTGGATATCTTGGTGGTCGCGCTGAGCAGCGCACATGAGGTGTTAATTGGTGCTAGTTCTATGTGACAACACGACTTATGTTGAAACTGATAACAAAAAATTGAAATAGGGTTTAAGTGAACGAGCGAAGCTGAAGGCTCGTGCTGAAGCCATTGCGCAGCGTTACGTGGACACTATGGAGGTGCAGGACATAATACTTAAGAACGACAAGCTGCGAACCTTAAGGGGCGCTTAAGTGGTCATGGATGGGAACGCAGTTTCGTTGTAGATGTCGCCGTACCCCTGGCTTCCACACACTCGTCACTACAAAAGATTTCGTGTTTGCATGGGATATCGTGAATGATGGCATTAGCTTGTAGAGCAGATATGGATGTATACCAGACATAAGCCTCGTATAAGATGTTATAATCTTCGGTTGCTGTTGTTACGCCTAAGGTAAGCATAGCATTGTCCAAAACGTCATCTAAATACCAGCTTCAGATGTATCTCTACGTACCTTCGTGGGTCAGTTGCTAATTGCCCTTACTGATGCATTTTCGTTACGCCTGAGTACTAATTACTTTACTCCACCGCGTTCAACTACAAGTAGTATGCTTACCAGAAAAGAATATATATATCTTGCGTCTTGTCGATAAAAGACCAATTTTACAGAGAATATACTATTTATTTATTTATTTAATTTTAATGTTATAGGCTTAAGAAGCAGACAGATCGCTCCCCACATATCCTCTCTTGGCCCCATTTACTTGGCTGTATCTGTTATACATGTGCCCATCACTATTCGCAGCACAAGTAGACAGTCATCATGAAAATCAGATCCACCTCTACAACCGCTTTTACTAGTCAACCATTCGTATTTCCAGAGCTGGCTAGCCGAACAACCTCCTCGTGGTGCCAGCTGAGTGGTTCAAGTTTAACCCGTTCTAGCTAATAGTTTGGCGGCAGTATTCCAGGACGTGGTAGGTTTTCACCTGGCGAGCGTTCTCCCTATAAAACCACAAATGTCTGCTTAACAACCATGTGAAGTGGCGGTCGTGGCTCGCCACAAAATAAAGTCATTGCCTCGTGGATATCTGGATAATCCTTTAAACCCACTGACAGCAATTTTCTACCCACACATTGCTGACGATAGCAAACATTCAAGAATGGAGCAACACGGTTACAATCGCAAACTACACAGCTACACAAACGCACACACAATTACATACTTACATATCCCTGTACAAACAAGCACTGTCATGGCAAACATATCGGATTTTTGCACATTCTTGATCACGCATTGTTTTCTTAGATTGATCCTGCCTGTAGAAGCTTGCCTCGCCTTGTCGAGAATAAAAGCTTTAGTTATTTATTTCTTTATTTCATTGGCACGAAAGCAGACCAACGACAGAGAGGCCCCTGTCACACTGGCTGGCCAGACAACCAGCAAATTTTGACCCCCACTTTGTCTTATCTCGGCCGCCTGTATCTTATAAATCATTTACCACGCTCAAACTCCTACCATGCGTTATGCGCAATGGTAGGTAAACAAACAACTACTATATTTTTGTTACTACTATCCTACGCTTGCTTTACCTCATTACTTGTTATTCAGCGTGCTAAAATAGCTCTTGCTGGGGAAACCACCATAAAAGTAGCTGATGCGACATTACAGTAATCGTTATAATTGCCACCTGGAGGAAAACACCGCTGGCGCTTGATTCAGAATTAAAAATTGGTGAGAAATAGCTCGAAATTAACCAAACAGCTACACAATAGTAGGCACCAACATATGAGGCATAATAATCTCTCATAATGAAGCAAGCTCCACCCCCATAAGTAGAGCAGTTAATGCCCTACCAAAGCAGACACAAGTGCATTTCAAGCCCCGAAGCAATTGGCTTAATTTTGCTAAATTTTCTGTTACTCATTTCTTTATTATTATCGTCTGGCTCCTGTAACCCACTTGTAGTGGAGACATGGCTTTATGAATACAAAATATCTGCCCTGCTAGCATATGAATTCCTTTTTTCGGTTGTCAAAGTCATCCAAAAGTCCTTCAACGTTTTTGAGTAAATTAATAGTGGCCACCTGATCTACTCCGTATTTCAGCGATGGGTGTGTTGGGCGGAGCCTGGGATACTAGTCGGTAAGCAATGACACGTAAAACGTCTCAAATACAAAAGTATAGAAGTCGGAGGCGACTGAACCCAAGGTATATTGTGCAGGCTACAAGAATAGGAAGCGAATCCGACAGAGCGAAAAACGTGCAGCGAGGTACTCATCAAAACGGTTAGTGTCAACGGACGTGCAGTCAGTAAAACAGGTGGACGTTTCGAAGGTTAAAACAACCGTAAACTCCAATGCTACAAAATACTGAAACAG